CATCCGGCTCCTGCTTGGTGGGAAGGCTGCTTCTCCTTCCCCCACTCCCCCTGCTTGTGTTACCTCTCTCGCTGTCTCTCTGTCAATTAAATAAATAAAAGCTTTTTAAAAAATAAAATAAAATAATTTTTAAAAGATTTCTTTATTTACTCAAGAGGGAGAGAGAGTCTTAAGCAGACTCAGCACTGAGCAAAGAGCGGGATGCGGGGCTTGATCTCATGACCCTGCGATCAAACCGAAAGTCAGATGCTTAACTGACTACACCACCCAGGAACCCCAAAGGCTAAAGCCTTTTGAAGTTGTACCCTTACATGATCCTCCAGAGCAAGATGACTGCCCTATTCCCTCTTATATGTGATGGGGCTGGTCTGTGACCCTCAGCCTGCCCTGAATGATTAAACTGTAACAGTGGCCAGAATGTGTTACGTCTCTGTGGATTCGGAAGAGGCAGCATACAGAATGGAGGAGGTGCACAAGCTTCAGAGTCAAGTCTGGGCCCAAGTCCTGGCTTTGCCCCTTCTTAGTCGGTCATCTGGCTGACTAAGAGCCTCAGTTTTCCCATCAACAAAATGGGCATAATAGTTCTTGCTTGATAGGCTTCCCGTGGATTGTCTGTTGCAGTGCCTGGCCCACACAGAAAGTGCTCAGTGAAGGGTAGCTATGCGCTCTAATCTCTCTGAATGTCTGAGTCTTCTTCACGCTGGTAGGTGTGAGGTGGCAAGGAAGGAGGGATTCTGGCGCTACCCTACCTACCTTTCTACTCTCCAACTTGAAAGTGATGTTGATGAGTGCAGTGTGTTCAATGCATGGCATTTCTGGAAACTTCTCAGTAAGAACGTGTGACAGGGGTGCCTGAGTGGCTTGGGCTCAGGTCATGATCCTGGGGTCCTGGGATCGAGCTCCACGTGGGTCTCCCTGCTCAGCCAGGAGTCTGCCTTGCCCTTTTCTCTACCGCTCCCCCCACTCGTGTTCTCTCTCTCAAATAAATAAATAAAATCTTAAAAAAAAAAAAAAAGATCATGTGACAGACAGAACCTATTGGAGGTGGTGAGAATTGAATCCAGTTAGTTGTTCTTACACCCAGCAGCATCAAAGTCTGGCCCAGGACAAGACTGCTTGTTCCCAGGCACTACTATACCTTTATTATCAAACACTCTGGCCTTTGTTTCTTCCGAGAAGCAGTCAGAAGAACAGCAGTAGCCACTGCCTACTGGATGCCTACTATGTGCCAGGGGGGTTTCCATTAATCATTTCATTCAATTAATGCCATAACATTTCAAGGTGGATGTTTTTATTCCCTTTTTGGGATGAGACAACCAAAGCTCACTGAGATTGAATAACTTACCTGAAGTCACATAGCTAGAAAGTTAACAGAGCTGAGATTTGCCTTTTAAATCTAATTTAATTTCTTAAATTTTTTTTATTTATCAGTATTTTTTTTAAAGATTTTATTTATTTATATGACAGAGAGATAAAGAGCACAAGTAGGCAGAGTGGCAGGCAGAGGGAGAGGGAGAAGCAGGCTGTCCACTGAGCAGGGAGCCCGATACAGGGCTCAATTCTAGGACCCTGGGATCATGACCTGAGCTGAAGTCAGCCGCTTAACCGACTGCACCCCCCCCAGGAGCCCAGATGGACCCATTTTATAGATGGGGAAGCTGAGGAGCCGAGAAAAAGCAAAGTCTCATGGAAGGAGATTTGGCAGGGATGGGGAAGCCTCTGAGTGTGGTAGGCCCTGGCAGAGGTGTCCCTAAGCAGCATCAGGCTGGGTCCCCAGCCCAGTTTTCTCCCTGGACTTCTGCAGGGGAAATTAGAGGGAAATGAATGTCGGAAGCAACCGCAAAGGAAAGTGAAGGCAGAAAGCACACCGTGGCCCGAGATAGTGTGGGAGGCCCAGAGAACCCAGGAATACTTTGCTCCTGCCGGTGCGGCTATGCTGTGGCAAGCATAGGCTGCTTCTTTTGTAATACCACCTGCAACTGCCATCTCATGATTTCTTCCTTGTCATTTTCCAACGTCACTACCCAGTTATGAGCCCCTGCGGAAGTGGACAGGGCAGAGGGTCGTGGGACCAGTCCCCCAGTTAACAGTGCCCAGATAGAAGCCTTGCTTCTGCTCCCACATCATCCTCTGCAGGGCTGGGGGTGGGCTGGGACCAGATTGGATGGCGGGGAGAAGGGCGGGGAACTGCCTCTTCTGCCCAGATATGGAGGAAGCTTCCCCGGTCCTAGAGGGATGAAGAAAAAGTTGGCAGAATGAGGGGAAAAAAAGGAAACCAGAGTAAAAGACACCAAGTCTCCCAGAGACTTGGCAGCTAAGGCAGGGCAATGGCCACACTCAGGGGACCAGGAAATCACACTAAACTAGAGACAAGGTTTGAGGTGATCTATTAATCTGTCCCTACAGAATCCTTCATGCCCATCTACCCTGCAGTTTAGAGGGTAAGCTGGAGCCCTCTTTTCTAGGGACCCAGAGAAGTTCACACGAGTGTCCAAAGCAAAGCAGAGACAAAGCAAGGCACTGTGCAATCTCTTTTCCCTGCCTTCGGGGTAGGGGGTCTTCAGCTCTCTCCCTGTGTTCCCATGTAGATCAGGCACCATCTGACAACGTCTAATAACTCCTCTTCTCCTCCTCCTTCTTCTTCGTCTTCTCCTTCTCCTCCACTTTCTTCTTCTTCTTCTCCTTCTTCTTCTTCTAACCACTCTCTTGTTTGGGACAGAAAGGATGGCAAGTTTGTACTTGTCCCCCAGCCCTATACATAATTGGTGACAGCAGGCAAAGCAGCTTTAAGGGGAGGGGTTTGCCAATGGAATGAAGGAGGGAGGGAGTCCTAGAGTGACAGAGCTGGAAGGGACCTGGGAGAACACTTGACCCAACCTTTTGTGGCCTCCACACCATTCCTGTGATCTGTGTGCTTCTATCCCTACCATCATCTCTCATGCCAACCAAGGGTTCTCAAGACCTCCTCCCCAAGGCTTCCTAACCTAAGGGCACTGTCTCTTGTCTCCTTTCCACCAAGGAGCTAATCCAGCCTCTTGTTTTCTAGATAACGCTGAGGCTCATTGAGATGTGACTTACCCAAAGGCAACCTTCGTCCCAGGACAAAACCAGGACAAAACCCCAAATGCTTGAAACTGTTTCCATCCTCCTACTCTTCTACTCAATCCCCAGGGAAGGAAGGGCTCAATTCTTCTCCCTAGGGGCTGAGGAGACCTCTGACATGTCACACCTGTCACCTAGCTGATGTGGGCTGCCAGTGTCAAGGTTGTCTAAGACCAGAGTTACTTTCAAGGTGATTCTGGTCATTTCCATTCCTCCCAGGTAAACTGAGGGCTTTCTGAGGTTGGTCTGGGTCCTGCTTGTTTCTTCCCTGAAAAAAATTGGCTCTGAAGCTTAAGTAACTGCCTGGAACTTGACTGACTGAGCCCCAGACTCCAAGAAAGCCCTCACCACCTTTTCAAGGGCTCTTTCCTCTAGGATAAAAGGAGAGAAGATGCTGAGCTGTAAATTCACCCAGAAGGCAGTGTCCATGGCCTCTTTTTTATCTTTTGCCCTTATTTTTTGCAGATATCATTTATCTTTCCTCCACTGCCCAGCAGTTGGAGATATGAAGAGGTCAGAATGGACTGGCTGGGACCACATCCTGAGGCTGTGAGGACAGGTTTGGAGAAGCGTTATGTGCAGATGTTTGTGTCTCTGTTTACAGGCATGGGCACATTCCTGGGTTAGCTCTTGCCCCTGTGCTGAGGGCATGAGAGCGTTTTATATGTGAGCCCACTTCTATATGAGTAGGGTAACTCAGTGGGCCACCTCCAAGGCCAGAACTGCAAAGGAGTCGCCCTGGGGCCCGGAGTTTGAGCTGGGGGAAGGCTACTTTCTTTTTGGTCCTCAATTAAAGTTTACTCAGAGCTAGGAAGGAGTCCGGGGTGAGGGGTGCGCTGGAGGTAAGACTTGGCAGGGTGGCCCTTGGCCCGAAGTGGGAGCCCGTCTTGGTTTTTCGAGGTCCCATGTGGCTGTGTCCCGCGTGTCGGGCTGCGTCGGGCGGGCGTGCCGGAGTGCCCGTGCGATCCCGTCCACCCCAGCCTCCCCGACACCCGGAGCTCTCTTTGTCTCCTTGTGGAGGTGTGCGTGCAAACCTGCGTCGCACAGCCCTCATCTCGTGCGAGCGCCGGGGTGCACCCTAGCTCCCCCATTCCTTCCGCAGGGAGAGAGAACGAGCCGGAGCCCGGTGCTGTTTGGTCTGGAGCCGAGCGGGGCTTGCATTGATCCATTGATTGTGCGCGGTCTGCGCCTGACCTCCCTGCTCCCGGGGAAGCCGTCTCCATGGAGACCGGGCCCGCTCCCCCAGCGCCGGATTGTAAATTCCTGCAGGCAGCGGCCCGGCAGCCTGGGGAGGGGGCCGCCGCGCCCGGGCGCGCAGGGGGAGCGGCCGCCGCGCCGAGGCCCCATTTGAAAGAAAAAAGGGCACGAAAAAGGAGGTGGTGGAGGAGGAGGGGGAGGAGGAAGAAAACGAAAAGGAGCGAGGAGAGGAGGAGAAAGAGGAGGAGGAGGAGAAAGGCGAAGAAAAAGAGACGGAGCCCGAGAGACGGAGAAGGAGCGAGAGAGGAAGAAAGAGAGGCAGAAAGGGCGTGTTTCTGGCGCTGCGTTTCCCCTCCCCTTTCTCAGGTCCCTCGCTCGGGCTCTGCGCGCTCTCCGGCGGCAGCTCTCCCCGGGCGAAGCTGGGAATTGGGTGGGATTATACGGAGCAGCCCCGCCGCCGCCGCCGCCGCCGCTAGCAGAGCCCAGCTCGGAGAGGGCGGTGGGTCCCCTCCGTCATTGGCGCCGGGCGCCCCCAGCCTCGTCGCGCTCTCCGCCTCGCTTTCCCCGGCGTCGGGCCGGGAGAAGCCGGCAGCATCGGGAGCCTCCCGACGAGGGCGCCGCGGTCCGCGCCCTGCGCCCGCAGCCCCCGGCCCGGCCCCGGCGGGGCGCCCCCTCCCCTCCCCCCTCCGGCGCGCGGGGGCCCCGCCGGCTTCCGCCCTCCCGGGGCTGCCAGACCTGCCCCGGCCGCCCGGCCGCGGGTGGCTCCAGCCATGGGCTCGGGGCGCGTGCCCGGGCTCTGCCTGCTCGTCCTGCTGGTCCACGCCCGCGCCGCCCAGCACAGCAAAGCCGCGCAAGGTAAGGAAGGAGGGGCGCGCGGCGGCGGGACTGCGGGAGCTACGGGGGCTGCGGGGCCCGAGGGCGGGGGCGCGATTTCCGAGGGGCAGGGCAGGTGCTGGGCAAAGCGTGCCGCTGTCAGAGCCCAGCACCGTGCACCCGCACTCTGGCCGAGGAGCTGACCTCAGGGCGCTGCGTCCCGGGCGAGAGGCTGGACAGGCCGGCAGCGACACAGAGGAGTGAGAAGTTTGGGGGGCCCTGTGCAGAAGTCGCCACGCACCTCAGAATTCTGCCCGACTTCACTGCCGCCCCAGCATCTTCGAAAGATTTCTTGTCCTCCAAAAGTACGAGAGAGAATCTTCCCTTCTCTCAGACACTGCCAGAAACTTAAGCCGTGGCCTGGAGAGACGGAGAGAATGAAACTTTTCAGCCACGCCATGTATTTCTTCCCCTCACCCCCAACCCTCATGCAAAGTCAGACAAAATTTCCCAGTTGTTGTCTTATCAGTAGAAAAATGTTAAAGAAAAATAGGATCTTTTTTGGAAAGCCCAGCTCGTCTCTCACTGGATGGTAGGGGGCTGAAGAAGAGAAGAAAATTTCTGACTGGTTCCCAGCAAGAATGTCGCTTTCTGCCTCTTTGGGGGGAAATCTCTTTCGTCTTGCATGGCTTTCATTTCTTATCATAATATTTATTTATTAAGGCCTCGGGTTTCCAATTCCATTTAAATCCAGGTCAGAATTGCATTAAAATAACAAAGTAAAATTCCAGGCCGGAGAGCTCTGACAGATCCCTCTAGGAATTAAAGAGAGAGAGAGACAGGGAGGCCCTCCAGCCCCCATCCCTGACCCCAGGCTCATTGCCTGGCCAGTCCCAAGGCTTTGCTGGCAGAAACCAGGCTGGTGGGCTACAGTTCTCTTGGGGACAGCCTCCCCTCCCCCTTGACCTCTTGCTGCACCCTTCCCCCATCATATCCTCACCCAGGAAGAGATTTATATGGACAAAAAGAAAATTCCTCCTGGCAAGGCTTGGCGGAGGAGGATATGATTCTGCCTATTGTCCCAGGGGCTCCTGAAGCCAAGATGGGGTGTGGAAGTGGCTGAGCCAGAAGGGAAAGTTGAACTTGGGAGTTGGGGAAGCCTGAGTCTCTGGCAGTCAGGTCGCTATGTCCTGGAGCCTAAGCCCTTGGCTCTTAAGGTGCTCTTCTGTACTGCATGGGCTCCCACTCTGATAAAAGGATGGTGCCCTATCCACGCCAGTCCCTTCTCCCAAATGCTGCCTCTTCAACTACCTCCTTCTTCTAACCTGTCCTTTAACAGAGCCCAAGGACCAGAGATCCACAGCTGTCACATACCAGACCTCACCCCCTTCCAACCCCAAACTGCCTCCTCTCCAGTTCTGGTTCCAGACAGCCCACTCCCACCCCCAGCCTGGGAGCAGCCCCTCTCCCACTGTGGATTTGCTTGTGTTTTCATAAACAAAGCTGGCTTTTGTAGTGTGTGCTGACTTACTCATAACATGGAATTAGCTAGGGAGTTTAGTCTGAAGGAAGGAACAGATTTCATTCAGTAATCTAGAGACAAGATAAGGCCTCTTTCAAGTTGGAGCCTGTGTCTGTAGTGGCCTAGTGAGACTGGGGGGCTGGGGGCAAAAGAGGGAGCAAACAGTATATTCAGGGGGGTTCCCAGGGCTCATGGAGACTTCTAGAAGGGACAGGTGCAAGGGGAGATCAGCTCATCCTTCGGGGATAGAAGGACTCAAAACCCCTGGGCTTCCCTTTTTCATCAAGACACCCCTCTGGGTGCTGCTGGGGGCAGGGGATGCAGCCAGAGTGGAGGCCCCTGCCCTCAAGGAACTTACATCCTCCTAGTTTTGTTTCCTGCTTATATTCAGGCTTCAGTTAACAGTGTATCTTCCTTCTGATCCCCAAGTCTAGCCGGGCATAGAATAGAAGCCTGTCATTTCAGCTACCTCTGACGCTGCTGTTCAGGAACTGTGTCAGCCCGGTCTGCCAGAGGTGGCCTAACGACAGGTCCGTTGGGGTAGAGGGTCTCTGGACCCAAATCTGCAGGCCACTCTTGCAGGAAAGACAAATACTGACTGGGCAGGGCAGCCTTACCCCTAGATGGAGTGCTGTGGACATCCCTTGATCCCAGACAGATCTCCTGGGTATCACGCCAGCAGGTGTGCTTTCAATGCCATGTGCTTTTAGTCGAAGCTCTAGTGGGTCTCTTTAAATTACAAAGACTCTAGGCAACTGTCTTGTGCCATTATTAGATCTCTGGATAGTGTGTGTGTGTGTGCGTGTGTGTGTGTGTGTGTGTGTATGTGAGAAATGGAGAGAGAGAGCGAGAGAGAGAAATTCACTGCCATCACCCACAGGAGGTAGAGCTGGGTGCCTTTGTCTCTCGTGACTTGGTGGTTAAGCCTGGATACGAACATTTTCATGTCTTTGAGAACCGTGTGTGGATGAATGGGTGGGTAAGCTCGTGTGACCAAGAGTGAGTGAGCATGAGGGTACATGGTTTTGAGTGTTTTTCAAGTGCCTGTCTGTGTATTTTAAAGTAGACAGACTGGATAACCAAGATAATTGTTAACTTAAAAGCATTAATTTGCTTTGCTTTTTTTTGGTGGTGGGGGGTGCAGCAGTGGTTAAAAAGATCTAATCCTTCCTTAGGGCTCAGGTTACAGCTGAATGAAAAGGTCTCCTGGCCTCCCCAGGGGAAACTTGTCCCCAGGGCAGGCTCAGGGAGAGCCAGCCTGGCCGTTTAGTTTACCTGGTTGTTTTTTCTTCTCATTAGGGATAAAATGTTGATAAAGTCATGTATTTAGAGTTTCCAAGTAACACCATCCCCAGGACTGAGAGCGTTCATCTGGTGGCAAACAGTGTCTCTCTTGTCTCCACGCGTCTCTCCGGGTCTCTGTCTGGGTGTATGTGTGTGTGTCTCTCTCTCTTTCCCCCACCCCTCTCTTCCTCTTTAATGTGGCTATTTCCTCTCCTCCCCGCTTCCCTGGGCTCCTGTGGCCAGCTCTTACAGTGAGGGGACTGTTCCTCCTAGCCCCTCCCTCCAAAATATGAAATGAAAACCATAACCGTGTCAGCGGGTGAGGGTGGCCCCGTGGGCAGCCGGCTATTGCCTGTGCCCCATCCAGGCCACACTGGGGAGAGAGAGAGAGAGAGAGAGAGAGGATGAGTCCCCACTCTTGGAGCCTGATCTTCAATCAGTTGCTTCTAAGCCTGTCTCCCTCACCTCCATTTTTCCAGAAGGGTGGAGAAGGGGGGGTTGGACTGCTTAGAAATTCCTCAGGAATCCCTTTGACCTCTCTTCTCTCAGTGACATGTCCCCCCGGGGAGGTGGGGGAAGCCTGGGGCCAGGGGAGCACTTTTCCACTTCTTACCCCTTGTCTCCTTGAGCCTCCTCAGAGCGGAAGGAGAGAGAGGGGAGCAGAAGACACCGAGGCCAGAATTACCGCAGGCAGAGAAAGAAGAAAGTTATCAGCCACCCCTAAATGAGATTGTTTTCTGAAACCAGGAATCTGAGAGCATGAGAACCGGTTTGAGATGTGAGCAGCCGGGACCTGTTGTAAAAGGAGCTGGCCCTGGGTGTGAGTTTGGGAATGCGAGGTGTGCATTCACTGGGGTGTGTGAGCGTGCGTGTGCATGATTCGGGGTGTGTGTGTGTGTGTGTGTGTATCCACCCGTGTGTGTGCGTGCGCCGTGCTCCGGTGAGAGGAAAAAGGAAGCGGGGCAATGTGCGTTTTGTTTTCGTTGGAGAAGTCAAGAAGTGGAATGGCTTGGTCCGGTGCCGTGGATTGAGGGTGGGGGAAGGGAACGGATGGTTTCAGACCCTCTTGCAGAGATGGAGGCAGAGGGGCTCGCTGCCTGAACTTACCCCCGGCCCTATCCCTGGCTCTGGACCCCTCGTGTCAGGGTGTGGGCCTCCCTTGACGTCCCGTACCTCTAGCACATGACCACTTCTAAGAAAGAGTCCCTGTCAGGGCTGGAAACTGCAGGGCTGCTTCTGAGACGGGCAGTGCCCGCAAGAGGCCCAGACCCGGGGACAAGTTCTTCAGGCTCAGTTAGAAGACAGCAGTCTGGAAACAGAGGGACGGCTGCTCCTGGCGGGGGGGGAAGTGATAACAGCAGCTAACTCAGGGATGCCCAAGGGGTAGAGGAGCTAGGCACCTGGGCTAGAAGGGGACACAGACCCTCCCCTCCCCTCACTGGCCCCTCTGTCACCAGCCTGCCCTCCCATGCCCGAGTACTGCCAGCTCCAAATGGCGTGTGGTGGGGTGTTTTGTGCCCGTGGGTTGGTAGACGCAGAGCCTGGGAACTGGGGCCCTTGAAAAAATCATTGAAATGCCCTCCCTCACTTGTGAAATGGACTAGAGTATCAGGAGAGTCTCCTTGAGCTCTGAGATTCTGCACATCTCATTGAAATCCTTCCTGCTGGAAGGCAGAAAACACTTGAGCAATTCTTGGTCCTGCCCCCAGGCTTCTGGGGCCTTCCTGCCTGACGCTCAGGCCCTCTCTGCCTCGGCCCTCCACTACTGCTCCCTGCCCGAGTCTGTCACTTGGCTACTCCTCCTTGTTTACCCCACCCCAGTTTCCTGGGGCCCCAAGTATGTGATTGTTCTGTGTCCTTAGGTAGACTCTTTCCCCCTGGAAAGAGCATCTACAAAACAAGTATGTGTTTCTGTGTGTGCACGTGTGTGTGAAGGTGTGTGCATCCAGCAGCTTTGGGTAGGGGAGCTGCGATGGTTGTGTTCTGGGAACTGAATCCTATCTGTTCAGGAACCCGAGGTCCCAGTCCCTGGTCCTGTATGGTGTATTCTCAGCTCCAAGCCTAGCCCTCTGTATTCTCCTCCAGCTGAAACATTTCAGACCGAGGTACTGTTTTGTAGTTGCTATTGGGTTTGGCCTTGGGGTGAAGAGATGACCCCTAAGTAGAGCACTGTGGCCCTCACTCTTACCTATGGTTTCCCTGTGGCTGTACCCATGGCCCTAGAGAGCTATGGGGT